TGGGGGGGGGGGCAGAGAGAGAGGGAGACACAGAATCTGAAACAGGCTCCAGGCTCTGAGCTGTCAGCACAGAGCCCGACGCGGGGCTCAAACTCACTGGCCGTGAGATCATGACCTGAGCTGAAGTCGGCCGCTTAACCGACTGAGCCACCCAGGCGCCCCAAAAGTTCTGTTTTTAAACTTAGTGAAATGTGATACTATGATCCTTGATATTTTCACATACGCCTTGTACACGCCCTGGACCCTCTTCTTGAGCCCAGAACGGTGAGTTGGATTTGAAGTCACTAGTCTGGGCTCAAGCACCTGCTCCTCTAGTTACTAGCTGTATAAACTTCTGCATGTCGTGTTCTGCCATGATCTCAGGCACATGGCATGGCCCCTCTGAGTCTCGGGTTTTCCTTCCATAGAATGGGATTGTGGTTCTTACTCTTTCTTTAACACAAGATGGGCGTGAGGGTCAAATGACATACTGAGTATAAATGCACTTTGTAAGCCAACAGGCACAAGTATCTCCCAGATGTTTTGTGGACAGGTAGCATCACGAGGGCCTTACTGATGGTATATGACACAAGCAGCCAGTGGCCGGTTTCCTCACCTCTTACCTCAGCCATCTCTTGAAACAGGGGGTGGCCTATCACTGCAGGAGCGATCCTTGGTTTCAGAACAGGAGAATGAGTGAGACTTAGGACGGCGAGCCTGTCGCCTGTGTCCTGCTGGCTCCTCTCAAACAAACCCTGTCTACATACTGTGAAAAAGTAACTTTGGACCAGTTTTTCAAACAGATGCCAAAAGCTACTGTTACTCTAGAGGCAACCCATTTGCTTATGCACCAAATCTCTGGGACAAATGTAGGGGGTGCAAAAGCAAGCACACTCCCGCGCCGCTGGCGGGACTGTCGGTGGGACTGTTCGTTTAACTGGTGATTCTACCGCCAGAGATTTGGCCCGCAGCAGAGTTGCCCTGGTATGCAGAGGTAAACGGGCACAGATACGCATCAGAACCTTGCCACTGAAAGCAACCAATCGAACCGCGCTAAGTGCCGTCCGTTTGGGAACTGTCTACGTAAATGGCAGTACATCTGTTCAATGGTATACAAGACACCTGTTTTATTGCATGAGCAGATTACTATGCACCACTGTGAAATTGTCTCCATGAGACTGTTTTAGGTAAGGAAAACAAAAGAGATCTGTAGTTATATTCTATCCTATTTGTGTTTTTTAAAACACATAGGTATTTTTTAAACTGTATACTTTTTAGACAGATTGATGAGAAATTGTTCATCAAATTACCCCCAAGGAATGGGCCTACAGGTCCTGGGTAGGGAGAGAGACCAAAATGTTTGTATTTATGGCTGTTGGCACTTTGTGGATTTCTTATAGCTACACATGTGGGATTTTTTTAATATTTATTTATTTTGATGGGGCACCTGGGTGGCTCAGTTGGTTGAGTGTCCGACTTTGGCTCAGGTCATGCTCTCACAGTTCGTGGGTTTGAGCCCCACGTCGGGCTCTGTGCTGACAGCTCGGAGACTGCTTCGGATTCTGTGCTTCCCTCTCTCTCTGCCCCTCCCCTGCTCACACTGTATCTCTCTCTCAAAATAAATACACATTAAAAAAAATTTTTTTAATATTTATTTATTTTGAGACAGAGAGAGAGAGGAAAGGCAGGGAGAGAGAATCCCAAGCAGTCTCCACACTGTCAGCACAGAGCCCAACATGGGGCTCAGTCCCATGAACCGTGAGATCATAACCTGAGCTGGAGTCACTATAATGTATTACTTTCGTGTCTTTTTGAATGCCATCTAAATTTTTTTAGTGTTTATTTTTGAGAGAGAGAGACAGCACGAGCAGGGGAGGGGCAGAGAGAGAGGGAGGCACAGAATCTGAAGCAGGGTCCAGGCTCTGAGCTGTCAGCACAAAGCCTGACGCGGGGCTCGAACCCACAAGCCGTGAGATCATGACCTGAACTGAAGTCAGACACTTAACCGACTGAGCCACCCAAGTGCCCCTTGAATGCCATCTAAAGCACAACCTTAGGGCACTGATGATACAGAAAGGCATTTAATCCAAAATTTACAGACTACCGTAGTAAATCTAATAGTGGATACGTATGCAAGCTGTAGTGGAATCATGGAAGAGAAATAATCGACTGGGCCGCCTGGGTGGCTCAGTCCGTTGAGCATCCGATTCTTGATTTTGGCTCAGGTCATGATCCCAGGGTCATGGCATCGAGACCTGCATTGGGCTTCATGCAGAGTGTGGACCCTGCTTCAAATTTTCCCTCTCTCTCTCTCTCCCTCTCCCCTTCTCCCCTGATGATGTGCCCTCTCTCGCTCT